TTCGAGGGAGGTAGGATCACACACTGTCTCTGTGCAGGCTGCACCTAGTGCACGTCCTATTCTCTCTTCTTCGACGCGCCAACACCAGAATCGCCCTCCTCCAAGGCGCTCTTAGTCGTTCCCGTGAGCAGTTCAACGCTCCCGTGATGCGCATGAAACTCCTTCTGACTAGCTTCTATGGTCGACAATAATCAAAGGCTTGTATAGCACAAGCAGCGATAGTGCGGGGGGTGCACACAGCCGAGGAATTGCCCCCCAAACCATTGTCAGGGGGAGGTCGCGTCATAAGCTCACCCGAGAGGGGGGGGGGGGGGACGGGGGGAGAGAACGTTCGTGCTGGTGTGAGAGCTTTCTTCTGATGACCTGAGAGAGAGGGCGGGGGGGGAGAACTTTCGTGCTGGTGTGAGAGCTTTCTTCTGATGACCTGTGAGGGGGGGGAGAACTTTCGTGCTGGTGTGAGAGCTTTCTTCTGATGACCTGTGAGGGGGGGGAGAACTTTCGTGCTGGTGTGAGAGCTTTCTTCTGATGACCTGTGAGGGGGGAGAGAGCGTTCGTGATGATGTGAAAGCTTTGCTCTGATGACCTGAGGGAGAGGGGGGGAGAGAGAGCCTTCGTGCCGCCGGAAACGCTGTTCCGTCTTCTCTGTTGCATAGACCATGCTTGTTTGTGGAAGCTTGAGTCGAAGGGATCAATGTCACTGCAAGGTTGTTGAAAAGTTGTCGATATTAAGAGTCTCACCCACACACCCACCATCGTGGCCATGGTGTGTGAGACTGGCATCTTTCCATTGGTCATCCGTTTAGCGCGGTCGATTCCGAGGGGTGATCGCAGAGTCGCAAGCCTTCCAATGGGACGGGAGGGGCGCAGGGTGTTTTGAGTCGCAACCGCGTGGTAGTTGATCGTGTCGTCGTATTTAGCCGACATAAACCCGGAACTCGCCTCCTTTTCGGTAGCCGCCGCTGAGAGTCCGCTCTTTCTCGCCAAGTTGGTGACGTCACCAAAGGACTTGTACTGTGCCCGTTGAAAGAATCTCTCAAAGGATGGATGTGTTGACGCCTTGACAAGGAATTCAGAACGCGCCACCTCTCAAGAACCTCTACTGTAGTCTCCGTCGAGGCTGGGGTTGTTAGTTCCTATCAAGGGACATGCTACCAATGGTCGCTATATATATATAGGTTTTACTGTAGGGGATCTTAACCGGGCTCACAATATGGTGGTCAAGTTCTTAAAATCTTGATTT